TTGTTTAAGACAATTTTGAACAGTATTTCAACGATACTAAAGTCTGGGATTTCAAACATCAACAAGATCCGAGTTGAGGGCTTGTTTGTTTGTTTGTTTGTTTGCGGTCTGTAAATAATCGAGTCTGAACCAGATAATCCATTCATTGACATCATGAGCATCTATCTACGCAATTGGGATACGGTGACATGCATTAACCAAGTCAGCAAACCTGACCACCCGATCCCGTTAGTCGCCTCGAACGACAAGCATAGTCGCCTTTTACGGCAAGCATGGGTTGCTGAAGACCTTTTCTACCCCGGATCTGCACGGGTTATTAATACTAATAAAGATAACAGTCCATTTATAACGCGCATTACTCCACGCGTAAAAAACACACCAGCTACGAAGGCAATGCGTTAAAGGCCAGTTTCACACAGTGCCGATTATGGCTCCCGTTTGAGATCAGACAGCGCTAAGACACGAAAAGTGAACTAGTCGGATTACTATCCTCAATGATCTGGAATGTCCTATCATTGTCGTATACGTTCGTAACAGAGTCCTACGGATCGGGAAAGGTCGAGAGATGTCGACCAAGCACTCCTGACAGTATGGTGCGTCCCGTTACATTCGGGAAACTCAGCCGACTTTGTCGAGTTGGATTACAAACGTGACTATGTCGTGACAGATTCTGCCGTATCGGATCAAAATCGTAACAATGTCCTATGTTGTATGGACGGTGTCCTGTGGATCAGTACGCTGTCGTGATGAACGTGCATGAATTGTTCATTGCCGTTTCTTGTCGATTGAGTCCAGATCTTGCCGAATGCGAACCGTCTTTGTCGGTTCACTGCCCGGTCACTGTCTGATCTCTGTCGGATCGCATACGGGAGAATCGGGACGCTGTCGTTTTTTACCATGCTGACGATACAAATCGGATCAGATTCGGATAAGGAACGGGAGAATCGGGACGAATTCGACTGGAAACGATTGAATCGGGACACTTCCTAAACAGTTACTGATTGTTTGTGAGTAGTAAAAATCCTGAATACGTGACTGAGCCCTTAGACGAGTTCTGAACTTAAAGTTTCTAATTCAGAATTTAAGAATTCAGAAATCAGAAGTTGAAAGGGAAGACTATTCTATTCAGTGGCTGTGGCAAACGGGAAGGCTCGATGACCATAGTTGATTGACTATAAGGCGCTGTAGTCATTGTGCGCACCCCTAAAGGCATGCTAGTTTACGAAGTTTGAAAGCAACAGCATGTGTCATCGCCTCACCGATGGCTTGACACATATAGAAGCGCCAGTAAAATCCCACTGTAGTCCAAAGATTCAGGGAGAGAATGTTCACGTTACGGCGAGAGCACTCAGTCCTGGTACCTAAACGTCAAAATGGTTAGTTGAATCCGAGGCGGGGGAGGAAACACTTCCGCCCCTATCCCCCCTCCAAAACGTTATATGTGTTTACATGAAGCGTGTCTCTTCCATATATACTCATCAACAAAAGTTCCTGTGACACCAATATTTTAGTGTATTTTTCAAACAAGTAAAGTTTGGTTTTCAATATTGTTGTACATGTATGGAATTAAGTCACAAATCGCAACTGCTACAGAAAAGCATGCATTCCATGCAAAAGTTGACTTTTATGCAAGCCCCATGCATTTCACTACCCCAAAAACGGGTATTAAACATGTGCGTTAACGGGATTCCATATGCATTGTTTAGCATCGTGCTGACAACAACCACTCCGAAAAACAACAAAATTACGCAATTATTCAACATTACGAAATGCCACGCCTGTCCGAAAATGAGTTTCTGCGAGCCATTGGTATGCTTGAAGCAGGATCGAGTTAACGTGATGTTGCAAGACAATTTAACGTCCGCAGAAACACCACTTGGTGTCTATGGCAACGTTGGCAACAGACGAATGCAGTCAGAGACCATCCTCGGAGTGGCAGGCCACGCGTAACCAATAATCGACAAGACAACTGGATTCGAACAACACAACTACGAAATCGATCCCTGGCCTTCGACGAATATCTCCACAAACCGTACGTCGCCGCCTCAGATGTGCAGGGATTGTCGCCAGAAGACCCGCCAGACATCACATTTTGACAGGAAACCACCGCCAAGCACATCTACAGTGGTGCAGACAGCGTATACGCTGGACGGCCATGCAGTGGGGACAAGTTCTATTCACTGACGAGCTTGTTTTCACCTCAGCCAATGGACGGATTCGAGTGTACCGACGTCGAGGTGAACGTTACGTCAATCATTGTGTCATGGAAGAAGCGGGGGCGACAGCGTTAGGGTTGGATTACAGCAAGACAGGGGACCTGTTTGATAGTGGTAGAGGGAAATCTCAATGGACAGCGCTACCGCGACGAGATCATCGGCCCTGTTGTTCTACCGTTTTTGCGTCGTCATGGCCCAGGCATTACCTTTCAACATGACACTGCCCGGCCTATATTGCTCGACTTGTTCAGGATTCCCTTCAACAAAACAACGTGAATGTCATCCCCTGGCCGGCTCGCTCCCCTGATCTATCACCAATCGAGCACATGTGGGGTGAGATGGATCGGCGCCTTCGACGTCAACCACGTGTTCCACAGACACTCAAGGAACTTCGAAACATGATCCAGCAGATATGGACAGATATCCCACAGGACTTTGTGCGACGCCTGGTCCATTCCATGAGACAAAGATGTGTTGCTTGCATCGCAACCAGAGGCGGACACACACGCTATTGATTTGTAAATTGACATTTTGGCATGTTTTTTATGAAAACACGCATTTTCTGAAGTCAGTATGGCAAATTAAACCATTTGAACACTTACAGGAGTCTTTTATCTGTTGCAAACCGAAATTGTTTCAGATTTGGTAAAAAACATAACTTTGCATTAAATCTTATTCAATGTCACAGGAACTTTTATTGTTCAGTATATATTCAACAAAATTCTAACAAAAGCACATCTGAGAAAGCAATACATTCACGAACGTAAAAGTAAAAGCTGGCATTTCATTGGTATGTTCCGCGTCATTCGCATCGTATGGATAACATCCAGGGGCAAAAGTTAGTAAATACACTGTATGTGGAATCAGATTCCTTGTCTACTGCAACAGCAGGAAGTGTGAGGACAAATGATGTGCGTGATGAAGATGGGTGAGTAAAATTGGTCTGACGCCGCTTTCTGAGCAGCATTACCGTTATCCTACTGCATGCTGGCTTGTATCGTTTCAGAAACGTCCAAGACAAGCAGGTCACGTGACGCAGGGTTTTTTTTGGTGATGGCCGCAGCAATGCTGACACACTCACGATCATAGTGAGGGGGGATCTGGATCTGAACCCATGCTTAGCGGATCCTTAAAGGGAAGCAACTCTGCACATGATGTAAATGATGTAAGGTCTCTCGCCTATCTCACCAACCCTTAGTAAAACACACACGCTGTCAATCACACACATAATAACGACACAAATATAATCATACATGATTTAGGAGCAATCAGTAGTATGGTAACATGCGTTGTCAGATCAATAGGGTTAACAGGAAAACGATTGGTAAATATTGCGTTATATGCACACGTCAAGTAATATCGTCAAAATGATGAAGAGTTTTACACAAATGTGTACAATTATCTATTCTGCACCACAATGTGAAATACCGGAAACGGAAATGATTAATGAACGAAAGCTCTTCACGTCAAAATCTCGCCGACACGAGAGCTATAGCGTATGAAGTACAATCTCAGTAACTGACAATTGGCAAACAATGGTAACTTCGGTATTATACATGTTTCACATAAAGTGTTTTCAGTTTTGGTTTCAGATGTCGGACTGTTGGGTAATAAATATGTCCTGTGTAAATACACATCCTTCTAAGACATCCACATGGCAACACTGGACCTTTCCGTGCAACCGCCTCGTACCGGGATCGCGCGACTGATTACGAATAGCATTTTCCGGACACAATTGATCACTGACAAGTAAAAGTAGAAAGTGACGGAGTTGCGATGTTGATCCGAAAGATACTTGATGCACACAATTTGTCCTTCTATCAATACGATTCATACAAGTACAGTAAAATACGGTTATAACGAACTCAAAGGGACTACTTATTTTAGTTCGTTTTAACCGTAGTTCATTATACGCATATATACAGCATAACTACAGGAAATAGTCAGGACCAAAAAAGTAGTTCGTTATATCCGTCAGTTCGTTATAAGCGTGTTCGTTATAACCGCAGTTTACTGTATACTGCAACGCAGCGGATGTAGCGAGGATCCCGGCTAGTCTGACCTTGTGACATGAAGTGAGTGAGTTAGTTCAGTCTTTCAATTCTATCACAGCGTGTTAGCTTGATAGTAAGTCCATCAGGGAACAGACGTTTAGCGCTTTGGTGATAGCCACGAACACAGGTGTGGTGTGGACAAACCTAGAAACATCATTCGGGTGAAATCTGGGATTCAAACCCACGTCATAGATCATGGTGCGTCAAAGGGACGCACCTTCTGTAGAGCGAATTGTGACGTCATAGACTACTACGCCACCCGTGTCACTCTTTATGACGAGCTTGACGGTTGCAGCACATCACTTAAACTCTCATAGCTTCATCACTTTCAGGAATAGTCTCAGTCCTCCCGATATGCTTACCCTTTTTGCCTGAGATTTTTAAAGGTCCATTCGTATAATTTTCACCGCCAATTTGCCTTTTACGCCAAGTGGAGTCTGTTCCGTTGGATAATTGAGACTGGTTATTCTCTGGCGTTGACGTTATATATCATTATTATAACACATCACTTAAATTCAAACAGTTTGATCTGTTTCATGGGTCTCATTGTTTCAACACGTCACTTAAACCCAGTTTCATCTGATGCATACTGGGGACCCGTGAAGATCCGGGTTAGAATAGGTCATCAGCAGCCCATGCTTGCCTTAAAAGGCGACTATGCTTGTCGTAAGAGGTGACTAATGGGATCGGGTGGTCAGGCTCGCTGACTTGGTTGATGCATGCCATCGTATTCCAGTTGCGTAGATCGATGCGCATGGTGGCAATCACTGTCTGGTCCAAACTCGATTATTAATAGAGCGCCGTCATAAAGCTGTAATATTGCTGAGTGCGGCGTTAAAGAACAAACAAACAGCATACTGGGCCTCGTTGCTGCAACATATCACTTAAACTCGTACAGTTTGACCTCCTTGTAATGAGTAGCGACATAAAGCACACCCGTGCCGTCGCAGCAGACGCGGTAGGGGAAGACCATGCCGTTGGGGCGGGTCAGAATGTTCCTCATGAACTTCCCCTCTTGGTTGATGTGGATGACGCGATGTTGTCGCGAGTCGGCCACCAAGATTTCACCGGCTGGCGTCACGGTCATCCCACACGGGTTTTCAAGTTTCCTCTCGTGAATATATCTGAACAACAACTGGCCTCGCTCGGATACACACACAATGGCGCCGTTGTGTTTATCATAAACAAGAACCTTATTCGGGAAGATGGTCTGAACGGTGAGAGGATGGTTGAACAAAGTCTGACCCTCGTCGTCGGTGGCGATGGATTTGAGAATGTTCCCGCTGTAGTCAATGATGTCGACACAAGGCCGGCCATCAAGCGGCGCACTCACAGCCATCTTCTGGAAGCCCAAAGTCGCGATGTCATAGTAACGTCTCTGAGTAGGAATGATACTGTGAGGGTGAAGGTCAGGGATGACGCTGATGACCCGGATGAGGCGTGATTTGGGTACAGTGAGGGCAACCCTGTTGTCAATGTTTGTAATCCCCGTAGTGTCTTTGTCAACAGACAGGTAACTGGTACGTATTTCCCCGTCTTCTGTATAGAAACATTTGATCCTGCAGTTGGGACGGTCTATTGCCACAATGACCTTCTTGTTATTGTCCGTGACGACGGTGAAATCGTATACCCATGGTTCATGGGTGTCCACAGGGAGGCTGAAGCTGATGGTGGTTCTGTAAACGGGGTCTTTACCTGCCACCGCCGTTGCTGTCGCGGGGCTTAAGGGGGGGCGGCCGTTCATGGATACGAAGACTGGAGATTTCGGAGACGCGGCGTTGCCTTTCGGAGTTGTGTTTTCTGAACATATGAAATACTAAGTCAAAGATGGGTTCCTATGTACAAAAAACACACAAATGCGGCGTTATATTCACTGACGTACACTCTACCGATATTTCTTGACTGGAATTGTATTTTGAGGGGCGGTCGGGTAGCCTAGTGGTTAAAGCGTTCGCTCGTCACGCCGAAGACCCGGGTTCGAATCCCGACATGGGTACAATGTGTGAAGCCCATTTCTGGTGTCCCCTGCCGTGATGTTGCTGGAATATTGCTAAAAGCGGCGTAAAACCATACTTACTCACACTCACTCATTGTATTCTGAACTTTGTTTCTTAAAATGTACTACATAGAACTATTGCCTTACTGCAACACATTATTGGAACTTCTAGATTGATATCCAAAGTCAGTTATACATTCAGGAAGATTGGAAGCTTCCATTCCATCCCAGTTGTGTTACCTTTGACCTTCATGCAGAGCCACACGTGACTTTTCCTGGCACCATGTAGCATCACCTCGGGAATGTCCTCTGCAACGATATGCTCGAACTCAGCAAGCATCCCGCCGATATTCGCCTGCAGCTGCAGGAAATCAGCGCTGCTCACCACCCGGTAGCATACCTGGTTGTGTCTAAAGCAACAGAAATGGTAGTCTGTATCTATTTCACTAAGGATTTAACACAGATTTTGTTCGGTTTTTTTTTTGTAGTTATTTCAAAGTCATCAATATTTTATCTATATAACGACGACCTGTAAAATACTGAGTCTACGACAGACAATTCAGTGATTGGAATTAGGAGCCAAGTACCACGAGGTAGTCACAGAGCATGACACACACTCCCATCAAATTTAGCAATGGCTTGCTGGGGGCCTGTTGTAATCCGGGTATAAATAAATAAATAAATAAATAAATAAATAAATACATACATACATACATACATACATACATACATACATACATACATACAAAGGTTTGACACAAGTCTGTGGAGTCATAAAACTGTCGGTACTCACCTTGCAGATTCGCATACAGCCTTTGACCCTGACACCAGCAGGGTGTTCCCGCTTTGCTGAAGCCTGCTCGCGACTTCCATGAGGAGAGTGCTGGAACCCGTATGTGTGGATGCCCACACCACTACCAATCCAGAGGTGTCGATATTCTCCGTCAGCAGCACAAACTGATCCTTTGTAAGTAACCACAGACCCCCCTCCTCTTCGTCCTCAAAGTCTGCCTCATCCACAGCTTCCGGTGCGGGGGACTTGATCACCTGTAATGCCTTGGATACCGCTACTGAAGCCGCTAGGGCTTTTACAATGTCCCTAAATTTCTCTTCGTTCATGCTTAACGAGTCGGGGATACAGAAAGAGGATGAATGGGACCGAATTCTCTCAATGGCAGTCTGAAAGGAGGCCTCAGAGGCAAGGTCACTCTCCTGAAGAACACCATACAGGGCACTGAAGTGTTCATCGGTAAAGTTACGGACCTGAGACACGAAGCCCTTGGTAATCTGGAGGTTATAGTCAACGAGCTCAGGTGCTTCCGAATTTTTCACGACGAGCGTCATGACAACGACAGGCGCGCTTTGTGACACGATACACACGTCACAGACGACTTGCTGGGGCACCTTTTGGATGGGGATATTGATGGTGACAGAGAGGGAGTTAGCAAGATACACCAAACTCTGTTCATCTGAGGTGTATTTCTCTTCTATCCGGGAGCACAGGCTCTTCACCAGTGTAGAGGGATTCTTGCCCATATTCCGGGGGTAAAAGCTCACACCGCCTGCAACGTTCATGGAAGTAGATGTCATTAGCACTTTTACAGGTGGGTAACGCCAAATATTGATTCATTCTTTTTACCCTTGTGGTGATTATGACTGGCAAAAGAGAAAAGAAATATCAGATTTACAACTTTGATTTGAGAATCAAACCAGAGCAGAGAGATAACGGCTCTACTTATGCAGTTGCCAAGGTGACATCAAAAAAAAAGAAATTTTACTAAAGACATCGTATAATATTATGTGTGAGTGAGTGAGAGATTGGATGAGTAAGTGAGTGTGTGATCGAGTGAGTGAGTGGGTGAGTGAGATTGGGTGAGTAAGAGAGAGATTGAGTGAGTAAGTGAGAGATTGAGTGAGTGAGTGTTTGTTTGTTTGTTTGGTGTTTTACGCCGCACTCAGCAATATTCCAGCTATATGACGGCGGTCTGTAAATAATCGAGTCTAGACCAGACAATCAAGTGATTGATATCATGAGCATCGATCCACGCAATTGGGACCGATGACATGCATCAACCAAGTCAGCGAGCCTGACCACCCGATCCCGTTAGTCGCCTTTTACGACAAGCATAGTCGCCTTTTACGGCAAGCGTGGGTAGCTGAGTAAGTTAGTGAGAGATTGAGTGAGTGAGTGAGTGAGTGACCTTTGGGCGTTAAGTGACTGGCAATGTCGTCGAGGGAGTTTCCAATCTGGTGCAGCTTCGGCAGAAACGGGTCGTTGCTGGGAAGCTCGAAAGCGCGACAATTCCCCTCCTGTACCCGGGCTGAAATGAAAGGGGTGGAGTGTAAAGACATTTATCTCAACAACTGTACCCCAATACCACCCTAAACTACAAAGCGAAACACAATAACGTTTCGTGAAGTGTCTGTATTCCTTATGTCTCCGATCGTGAAGATCCGGGTTAGAATTTGTCTTCAGCAGCCCATGCTTGTCGTAAGGGGCGACTGACAGGATCGGGTGGTCAGGCTCGCTGACGTAGTTGATGCATGTCATCGTATCCCAATTGCGTAGATAGATGCTCATGATGTCAGTCACTGGATTGTCTGGTCCTGACTCAATCATTAACAGACCGCCGTCATATATCTGGAATATTGCCGAGTGCGGCGTTAAACAACAATCAAACAAACAAACAAATCCTTTTGTCTTCATATGTATGTCACTATCTGGTGGGCGTTCGCTCGTCACGCCGAAGACCCGGGTTCGATTCCCGACATGGGTACAATGTGTGAAGCCCATTTCTGGTGTCCCCCGCCGTGATATTGCTGGAATATTGCTAAAAGCGGCGTAAAACCATACTCACTCACTCACTATCTGGTGGAGGCTATCTGGTGGAGGCATGCTAGTCTACACAGTCAACACATCTCCGATATATCAGTACCAACGGCAGTACCTATATTAATATCAGTACGGCATACCTATATTAATAACGGCAGGTCCCATTTTAAAATTATCATCAAATCAAATTCTTCTCAAATGGATAGACACTGCTGTTAATATCTGTCTCCAGCATACGTCTGTCTGTTATAAACACTGTTTGGAAAAGCGTAATCATATTATTAAAACTTCCGTATTAAGTCTGAAATAACAGTTCCTACGCCCTGGGAAACCACGAAAACGTGACATACGGGAAAACACGGAAAACGTGTGACATACGGGAAAACACGAAAACGTGTGACATACGGGAAAACACGAAAACGTGTGACATACGGGAAAACACGAAAACGTGTGACATACGGGAACACACGGAAAACGTGTGACATACGGGAAAACACGAAAACGCGTGACATACGGGAACACACGGAAAACGTGTGACATACGGGAAAACACGGAAAACGTGTGACATACGGGAACACACGGAAAAAGAAAACACCACAGAAGATCAGGGTTAACGGTAAATCAGAGTAATGACGTCACCATTTATATCAGATTTACAAATCTTCCTTTTGTAAGATATTGGTGCATAGGTAAGCCGTCAGACGTGTTTGGTCACAGTGTCAAGTGAGTGACCACGCCTAATGTATCTTTATGCACACAGTAGTCGCTTGTGTAAACCAAACACGGAGATAGCTTCTGTATCCATTCAGCGGCCATCGGGCGACAGTTTGATCATTCAGAAGACCTAGGGCGATGTTAACATCTCTAAATAGTAACTCGGACTCACTCCGTGAATACTCTTGTGATATTACCAGGCCAACTACTTCCGTGTTATTAAGTGCAGTACTGTCAACGTACTTACGGACCAATTTTATCTGCTGATTGATCTCACAAACGGACTTTTCAAATTCAAAGTTTTCCTTATAACGACACTTGAGATACCACGTGACTACCTGATCTCCGTGACCTTCCACCGCAGAGTACAAAATGCAGAGACGTTACAACGTCACCAGCGTGTTTCAGTCCAGCACGACATCGCGGGAACGAGACAACACGTCCATAGTGACATAGACGGATAATGGAAATTACACCACAACGCGATTAAACTTGTGAGCTTTCCAGCAAGAATATGAATGAATTCGGATTCAAACGTTATCCACTCTAGTCAGGGACGTGTCCTTTGGTATCATCTGAATTCTACCCCTGTACTCATACTTTAACACATGAAGACTCGAGGCCCCGTAGTGATTCCATGGTAGACGAAGTCCCAGTAAAGGACCGGACATTTGATGTTCTGGGGGAAGGGGGGATATTGTTTTGAGGCCAGATTTTGTTTTCAGCTATAGCTGCAAAACCTCATTTTTTTTCTTCTGAAAAACACATTGCAGCAATATAATTTTGGTAGCAGACAAAAAACATTCTGCAATAATGTGAACCATAATTATTATTTTTTTTTATATAATATCACAGGTCACCTGTAGAGTATAAAATGGTCGGCCCCTTAACTATGCTGGTAGTAAGAGGCGACTAAATGGATCGGGTGGTCTGGCTCGGTGACTTGGTGGGTCGTGTGTCATCGGACGACTGCGAAAATCAACTACTAGTTTGTCTGGCCCTGACTTGGGGGCACTGGTGGCCCAGTCGTCTAAGGCGCCGCGATTCGCTATGCAGAGTTGCGTCCCTTGTGCACGCCAGAAACCTATGATTGTGGGTTCGAATCCCGGTTCGCCCCGATTATGTTTCTAGGTTTGTCAGCACCATACCCGTGCTCGTGGGTTACACCGAAGTGGTAAACGTCTGAGACCTGCATCACTTCGGGCTTTCCTCCCACATTAAGCTGACACGCCGTGATATAACTGGAATACTGTTAAAAGCGGCGTTAAACCCAACTCACTCACTCACTGGCCCTGACTTGATTACTTCCAGGACTCATAAGCCTTTAGGTCCCCATTTCTTTACGCTAGGCAGGGATGGGCCACTAGGTGGATTATTTACAACCAGTGAGAAACACGGACATTTAAGTTTAGATCTCGCTTTGTATGTCTGGAGTTAAGCACCACTTCCATATGATGAAAACACTCCCGCGTCGCTTTGTGATGGTACAGACGCTGACCAGACCAGACGGAGCTGGCGCCCTGGTATTGCAGACAGATAGGTGTTGCTTACATATACAGTAAACTACAGTTATAACGAACTCAAAGGGACCACTAATTTTAGTTCGTTATAACCGTAGTTCGTTATAAGCATATATACAGCATAACTACAGAAAATAGTCGGGACCAAAAAGTAAGTTCGTTATATCCGTCAGTTCGTTATAAGCGAGTTCGTTATACACTCGTCCTGCTGTAGACCTTTGTTTGTTTGTTTGTTGTTTACCGCCTCACTATATTCCAGCTATATGACGGCGGTCTGTAATTAATCGAGACTGGATCATGACAATCCAGTGATTGACATCATGAGCATCGATCCACGCAACTGGGATACGATGGCATGACTCAACGTAGTCAACGAGCCTGACCTCCCGATCCCGTTAGTCGCCTCTGACAACAAGCATGGGTTGCTGGGGATCAATTCTAACAACGACGCTACAAACTGTCGCAAAAATATTCCAGAAGTGGAGTTTGTGACATAATTTCAAAAACGGAGCTTGGGTGGCGAATGAGTCCAGGATATTTCTCATTTAAGAATGGAGAATCGAGGATGGATTCCACTAGGAACGGAGGTTTCGCCGTAAAGTGATCAAACGTAAAACAACGCAAGTTATGACGACGTTGAACGACCGCCGACGTTAACGCCGTTGTGGAATCAGGTCCCGTGGTCATCCATTTTGTGGATACACTGCAGCCGGCGTTGAGACCACGTATACATTCTCACCGCTAGACTTACCCGTCATGTCGACGATGAATCCAGCGTCCACGACGTCGTCCCCAGCGTCCTGCGTCACTGGAACAAACATGTAACCATGGTAACAACCACCAAGAACATAATTGTAACAGTCGTAAAAACTTTGGTTATACACTCGCAAAAGAACGCATGGTAACAATCGTCAATAACGTAATGTTAAACTCATCACTAAAACCACTGTTAAAATCAAAACGGTCAATCAAAATATGATTGGTTGTTGTTGGTTTGTTGTTTAACGCCGCACTCAGCAATATTCCAGCTATATGACGGCGGTCTGTAAATAATCGAGTCTGGACCAGACAATCCAGTGATTAATATCATGACCATCGATCCACGCAACTGGGATCGATGACATGCATCAACCAAGTCAGCGAGCCTGACCACCCGATCCCGTCTGTCGCCTTTTACGACAAGCATAGTCACCTTTTACGGCAAGCATAGTCACCTTTTACGACAAGCATAGTCACCTTTTACGACAAGCATAGTCACCTTTTACGGCAAAATAATAAGTTAAACATTATCACAATGACAACTGTGAGTAAAATCTTATAGTAATATTCAAGAAACACCGCGTGTTCACATTTAACGACATAATATCAGCCACGCAGCGGCTATAGTGAAACAACTATACTACTCAAAATAAGTTAAGGATCACCCGATTCTTTCACATTACAATAATAAATCTGTCATGGCATGACATATTAAATATAGTAACATGAAAGAATCGGGAGGTCCTTAACTTCTTTTGAGTAGTATATATTTTACGATCATTTTACTCATTCCGTGAGTCTTTTTCAGTTGACAACGTAGATAAATAAGTAGAAATGGTCCTACCATGGAGCTTTCGGCGTGTTTGTCAGTGGAGCCAATGTGACGCTTACCTACACGAGACACGACACTAAAGACTTGCCTGAATTACCGCCACGTGATTGTAACCCTAGCCCCAGCGGGAGTGTTCGCAAGGAGGAAGCAGTGTTCATGCCATGATCACGTCACCGGGGGATATGTTTAACGAGGAAAACATGTTCGAAAAGCGAGTGGGCCGGGTGTTGGTTTAAAGCCGCATTGAACGGTATTTCAGTTTTAACACGGCGTGTCCTCTTGATGTGGGAGGAAAGTCTGAAGTAGAACACTACGAATACTTAAACATTGACAGGGCGAAAATGGGATTCGAACCCACGTTAAAAGGATCCTGGCACGTCTACGGGACGCAACTCTGCACAGCGAAGAGCAGTGCCACACACGACTCTTGGTTAATTGATGGGACCTGTGTCAGACACTGCGGAATACCGAATGTAATCAGGCAGTGGTTTGGTTAACTGTCCGTACTTCCAACTATCAGATTACTCCGCGCCGAAACGCCGTGATATAACTTGAATGCACTTAAAAGCTGCATTAAAGCCAACTCAATCACCCACTCACTCCGCGCCAAAAAGTAACATATTTCATTTTAGCCTTTAAGGCATTTGTATAAGGTCTGTGTAAACGCTCGGACTATTTTTAACAGCATGACACGAAAAGAATATGATTCAGATGTTGTACGGAATAGAACCGTGGTAATGTTTCGTCAAGGGCGAACTCCCTGAACAATTTCCTGAACCCGTGCCTAAAAAGTGAGTTAGTGAGTGAGTTGGGTTTAACGCCGCTTTTAACAGTATTCCAGTTACATCACGGCGTGTCAGCTTTATGTGGGAGGAACGCCCGACATGATGCAGATCTCAGTCGTTTTACAACTTCGGTGAAACCCACGAGCACGGGTATGGTGCTGACAAACCTAGAAACATGTTCGGGGCGAACCGGGATTCCAACCCAAAAGCATAGGTTTCTGGCGTGCCCAAGGGACGCAACTCCGCACAGCGATCGCTGGGCCTTAGGCGACTGGGCCACCCGTGCCCCCTGTGCCTGTAAAGAATACGTTGACTTCTGATTTATGTTGGAAAGCGTGAGTTGATTTAACGGCACCGTGAACAATGTTTCAGGAACATCACGGAGAAAAGCCACAAAGTACCATTTGTCTGTGAAACCTACCAGCATGCGCACGCATAATCGGCACGAATTTTGGACTCGAACCCACGACCAGCTAATCCTGACACGATTAAGGGACGCAACTCTGAAACGCGCCTTAGAACACTGATCATGAGTAACACGGTAATAGAAATAATTACAGTGTAACCTCGTTACGACGGACAGTAGCGTTCCAAGTTAAATAGTCCCGACCAACAGGTTTTTGTTATTAATGAATGAAGGTTATGGATGCTGTAACTTTGTATAAATGAACAAGATTCAGTTGTCCGGATTGTTAGTTGTCCGGATTAACAGGGTCGGACTGACGAGGTTTCACTGTATGCGGACGGTACTTACCTGGACCACATCCTTCCATCTTCTACTTCCTGTCTTTGAAAATGTCTGTGAGTTTTCTGATCATCTTGAACCACCTCTTCCCGCCCACAGGGACAATCCCGTTCTTACCCAGCCGAAACGACTTGGGACCCGAGTTCTCGTAAAACACGATCCCAGTAGTCTGCTTGACGGAGACTTCGACGACGTAGACGTCGACGTCGGTGTTTGCGCTGTTGTTCCGAGTGTACTCACTGGCGTTGTGGAAAACAATCTCCACGAAGTTGTTCGGGATTTGAATCTTTTCTCCGTCGTAATTACAGATAAGAAGATTCTGATTCACAACGTCGACAATCCTGTCTTTCAGAGGACCGTGGACATTCACTGGCAGAGGAACGCCGTGGACTTGCACGATCTTCGTAAAATAGTCTCCATGTTTGGATCCCAATTCCTTTTCTTCGATTCCAAGAAAAAATGATCCCCCCGATTCCACCTTGGTAAAGGCACTGATGTACTCACGGAGCCTCAGGTCCCTCCAGATGTAATCACACAACGAACTAACGTTCTTCAGAAGTTCCTCGCGTTTTTTGGTTTCCACCAAGAATGCTTTGAGTTGTACGTTCCTGCTCTCGTTGAGCTGAGCGAGGTTTTGGAGATTACCTCGGATCTGAGGGTCTCTGTCCGAGAACTTCCTTCTTTGGGCTAGAAGGGAGAGGATGTTTGTGGTTGAAGGATTCTCGATCGCACTGTCCAAAGGAATCTTTGTCTTGAAGTCGGTGGTGGATATACTTGAGGATGATTTTACCGTCAGACACACGAAACTGTTCGCTGCAGCGAATTCCAGTTCATCGGACAACCACACACGACTGTAGGTATCAACAAACTGTTTCCCGTCTTCGATCAGCTTATTTAACTTCTCATCCACAAATTCGTCAAAGTATCCCAGAAACCTGTCTCCTCTATCAAGTCCTGTGATGTGCACGAGCAGGATGCCTCCCTTTGAGTTCCTCAGTGCAGTCACCTTCTTGACAAGTTCCTCCAACTTGTTCACCCTCTCTCTTTTCCTCTCCTCTTTCACCTGGTTGAATATAAAGGTCAAGGGAATGAAGGGGGGCAACCTACATGAGCCGTGTTTCACGCCACAGTGAGAAGTGCGCCGGCTATATCACGGCAGGTGTAGCCAATCGAGTCTGAATCCGACATACTGGCATTAGATTGATGTTATATTGCGATGAAACACTTACTACAAACACCAAGCAAATCAATGGACAGTTCAGTCGAAAGATCTTGTCAAAGTTAGGTAATAAATATATAACGAGATCTCGCGAGAGCTTGACTTCATTTAAGATGGCGACGCACATCGATTGATAGCGTTCAATCGTATGTTATTTGTTTGCTGGTAAGTAATTTTCCGGGTGCTTGTATATGTGACGTAAGTAAGGTAGGTTGCTTGTGGGAAGGCCGTTAGACGTTAGTCTTGATCGGGGTGCTCAGCATGGAAGCTGAGTGTAGCCGAATACTGACATGGCATGACATAAAACACAGTTGTGTCATCACTGTATCATTCCGATCTAACACTATAGGTATATGGGGCGGTCGGGTAGCCTGGTGGTTAAAGCGTTCGCTCGTCACGCCGAAGACCCGGGTTCGATTCCCGACATGGGTACAATGCGTGAAGCCCATTTCTGGTGTCCCCCGCCGTGATATTGCTGGAATATTGCTAAAAGCGGCGTAAAACCATACTCACTCACTCACTATAGGTATATAAGTATAAAACCTTTTTCTTGTATGGTTTGTTGTTGAGGACGGTGACTGCAATGTCCATACACAGGAAGGACGACTCCTGACTCCTGTCCTTCACCTTGCCCAACACTTCCTCACACTGATCACAGGAACCTGCAAACACAAAGGTCACAGAGGTCAGCGGCTAGTTAAAGGGAGACTCTGCTCCGTGTCCAGTTCAGATATTTGTGTATTTTCCCTGTGTAATAAGCTGTCACACTTGCTGGAACTGGCAATTGTCCGAAGCCATTTAAAGAGGTAACAGCCTTGAACTGGTCTGGCACGACGTTTAGCTGACCCCTTCCAGGTCAGAGGTCATGTATGTAGTCTCTTCCCTGACATTCTTCTGTTGAGAGAAATACTCAGTAACCAATCGAAACACCACAGTTCCCGAATAACGATTGCGTTTGTGAGCTTTCAAAGGTTCCATTCGTGACAACAAGCAAAGACTAGGACTCAACCACTTCTATCTAGATTGTATGTATTTCAAGACGCCGAATGCGTACACGAAAACCCCACACTTTAACTACATAAAGTATCAGTTAACTAGAAAAAAAACCAAGACATGCATTGTAATGAAAGCGTAACGAAGCGGCCATCGGGCATCAAATTACATCCGTCGCATGCCTTTTGTGCAAGCAAGTTAATGTAGGACGTACGCCAGGTTTTGTTGCAGACGCGTTTTTGCATCCCTTTCATAACTCTGGTTCGAGGACAGCACAAACTGCTATCTCTCCAAACATGCAGTATAGAGCAGCAGATCACTAGTGTACGAAAATATCACATGTGAGATTTTGTCGGACCGTTTGCCTCGTCCTTCTGCACAGATAATCACCAATAGTAAACAACAATCTTCCTGTAACGCTGTAGGGATCGTCCATTATATTTCTGGGGGGAGGGGCCGGACCAGGTTATTCAGAGTCACAAAACAAATTAAATCCCTGAGGAAGAATTCTTAATTTTCACGTTTTTGGGAACAAATTATTTTTCTAAAACAATGTGTTATTAATAAAACAATGGGATGTTAATAAACAATGTGTTATCAATAAAACAATGACATGTTAGTAGACAATGTCTTATTAATAAAACAATGGGATGTTAAAAAACAATGTGTTATTAATAAAACAACAGGATGTTAAAAAACAATGTGTTATTAATAAAACAATGGGATGTTAATAAACAATGTGTTATTAATAAAACATTTGTTCTACTCCTGCTTTCCCAGAAAAATACGCGTGGCCGAATAATAACCTGTCTCCCACAGACATCTCCGCTCCATTGTGTCATTCTACGTAGGATCTCGCATTAACATTGCTTTCTTAAAGTTTCGGCGGGATACGCTCATCTTTGCGCGAACACCTGTTATAATCACTATTTGATAGTGATTCATAAACACATGATCATGATACAGTCGGAATGGTACAATCACCTCTGCTTTATGCAGATATTTCTATTGGATATGGAAAGGGGTTTGTCGTTTTATTTATGAAACAATGAGATGTCACTGGAATGCCACGTGACCAGGGGTGTTTTCGCTGTTTGGCGGACATATGCGCCTTCAGCAGCACGGAGTAGATGGTTGTTACAATTGCAATCCCTATGTTAGAGGATGTGAAACAAAGACATCTTTGTTTCTATTTATTTCCAGCTAGTTTGGTTAACCGTGACACGGATACCAGCCACGTGGACAAACCGTGATGCATACCTCGTGTACTCAGGCGGTATTTGATTATGAGACCCCCAGTGAAGATCCGGGTTAGAATCATCTTCCCGAGGCAAGTGAGTTAACTGACTATAAAAGTCCACTTTCCACCCTTGCCGAACTAGG